CATGTCTGTGCGTTTACAGGCTAACATGCACTTCCACTCAGCAGAGCTCACCTCTGCATGTAAAAAAAGCTCTACATGGTCCTTTACTGTGATTTTGGGATTCGATTCACACCATGCTCTTTATTTGTTCATGCAAAGTCATCCCTTCTTATCGGTCATCTTTTCCTCTTCGCTTCATGTGATTGTCTTACTAGAAAGGCCACTTTTCTGAAAGCTTTGTCAGCTTTTAATGTAATCATATCTTTATCACACGCTTAGCTGCAAGCACCTATCAGATTGTAAATTTCACGTTAAGGTGCTATTTGATTGTAGCGTGGTTCTATCAGTTGCAGTAAATCCTTCCTTTATGAAGTAGACGAGCCCAAAGACATTCAGGGGGCCAGCCCAGTGTGTGGTTAGCTCTTGGTTTTGTATCAGGATATTTGGTGATATTTTACGCTGCAGGCAACACCAAAGAAATGCTTCTTTTGACAAATGTTTTTCTCATGAATCTGATGACTCTGATAGGAGTAATTGTTTATGTATTGATTTGGATTTGTTTGGTATATTTTGCAAAGGCAAGGAGAAAAGGATTAAACGCAATAAATAAACAGTTTTTGTTTGCCTTACTTAGATATTGGACTTTGAGTAAAGTTTTGTCTACTTTGTATCGTCTGCCTCTGATATGATGATGGTTGTAACCTTTCACAGAGTATTGTTACTTCTGTAACTACTGATTTTGTTTTGCAACTCTGTATCAAATGTAATGTAGTGAGTACAAGGGAAAAATTAGTTCTATTTTTGACCTTCAGAACTGCAGCTTGTTGTATTTCTACTCAAAGCTTCTTTGCTTTGAAGGTCGGAATATACCTTTTACTATGTTTACCTCATGGGAAAAAGGTAGTTTTAATACCTTACTTTGCAAGACAGCTAACAGTGATTCACGTCGTCACAATGACCTTGAATAAAGATCGCGGCTCCATTTTAGAGCGTAGCACTCCTCCACGGCTATGCTTTATCACTTCGACTCATTTATGACCTGTTTTTCTTCCCCTCGTGCGGTCATATCTAGACATGGCTCATAGAGAGTAGGATGGTGCTGGGCCTGTGAACTTTGACAGCCGTCAGAACGGGGAGGTGGAGGGTGTGATGTAAATGCTGAAGGGCGGATGAAAAAGAACGACTGAGAAGAAGTAAAATTCCAGAAAGTGAGCGAAGAAGATGTGGAGTAGAAGGAAAGGGAAGAGGAGGATAATGAAGTGGAATGTAAGGGGTGGGGCACCTCTGGTATGTCAGCCCTGCACTCAGTGTGTGCGAATGTGTGTGTGAGCCTAAACACCCCACCATGACTCAGTGAGTCAGACATGCGCAGCTGCTTCAGCTCTCAATCACACACCCGCAAAATGCTTTGAAACTATCTCTGTTGCTCTCTCTTTGATTCTCTGTTTCTGTCTCTCTCTGACACTCTCTGATTCGCCATTTCCCTGGAAGATCCACAAGCAGCTGCAGTGGGTGGAGAGGCTGCTTTTTTAAATTAACACACACACACAAATGTTAAAAATCAGTCATTCATTTTTGAATGAACTCCCAACAATTTCTTTACTGCAGTAAAGAAACACATAGTTTAAAAAATGTGTTGATTTTTCAAACTATTTCTTTGTGGATTAGTGTTGACACACAAAGGCTGTTTAGAAAAGATTCATGTAGCTTCTGGGACTGAAAGGTGAAGACAATGCTGTGGTGCATTAATCCTGCATTCTTTCTATTGGCCAGCAGGGGGCAACTCCTCTGGTTTCAAAGAGTTTTGTTGAATAAGTCTATGGAAAACTGGCCCAACTAACACTCAATCATCACGGTTTCAAAAAAAATGGCAACACTGAAAATGCTCAAGTTGAGACACCACAAACTAGCGGATGAAATCTTAGAGGTCCTCCCTCTATCAGCACAGAGCAAGCAAGGCTTAGCCTAACATCTTGAGGATAATTATAATTTAACAAAAAACAGAGTTTAAGAGACTACTTGAGCACACCTGATGCACATCATGAAGCTAATGAAGCATCTGCCCAAACTCAGACTGCTGAAAAGTGTGCCATGCAGATAGATAGAGCAAGCTTTTCCTCCAAGGCTGGCTATCTCTGGACACTCTCTCACCTGGGGCTGAAGCAGTGGGGTGCTTAGTGGTCTCTCTTTCATCTGATGATGGCTGTCTAAACTATAGCAACCAGCCCAGCCTTTAATCCAGTGTGTCCTCCACAGCTCACAGGATTTTTAAATAGCAATGTTATTTTTCGTAACATGATCAAGAAAAGTCCTCATTTAATTTTTTTGTGAACAGCTTTTGTTTTTGTTTTATTATCAAGGTCACTATGACATATATAACAAAGAAGTCTAAAATTAAAACAAAAGTAAAAATGTAGTTTGTTTTCTTTGCTGTTTTTCAGATTTTTGTCCACATATATGATATACAAACTATAATTTAATAATAAAGACAATCCTACAGTTTTGAAATGTCTTGCTTTTGAGGGGAACAGCTTGATGAGAATAAGTGAATAAGCCAGGACTAGTTCATACAAAATAAAATGTTAATACTTCTGATTCTCCACACTTGAAGAGCTGGCTGTCACAAGAATGGAGGAGATGTGATATTGTTTATAGGTGGAGAAATTCATAGTTTTCATACGTGCACTCAAAAAAATTGAATGAACATGAAACAATTAGGGAAAGGATTTTTTTAATGTGATTAAATTGCTGTATTTTCGTCTTATACAATTCTGTTATTCCAACTTAAAGCATTTGAGTTGGACCAACTTAGTTAATTAATGATGAATCAACTTATTTACTGCAGTTGAGTCCAATTTAATAAAGCTTTGTAATGTGCATCTTTTTTCCCCTCCAGTTGAATGGATTTATAACAAATTTCACACAGCAGTCACTCCATACTAAAAAAAGAAGTAGGGAAGTTATGATTTCAAGGCTTGATACAGAATTTTCTTTATGTTTTTGTCCTTGGTGGGTGCATAGCTGCAATTATTTAAAACCAGATATATATGAAAATGTTCGTTGTCAGACTAAGACTTTTAACAGGTTAAACCACAATAAATAACCACAATAAATAGCAATAGCATGTAGCCTAACATCCTGTAACAACAGCGAAATGTTACCAACAACCTGTGTATGGTCACCCAACAGTCTGAACCAACAGATCTGTAAGGTCTCAATAATGATGCAACTGGGGGTTCAGTGCCTGGCCCAAAAGCAACCGAGCAGCAGTGATTTGCTAGAGGGAGGAGAAAATGTTGCTCATTTCCCTCCCACCGTACCAGAGCAGTCTCACCTCCTCTTCTACTTCCTCTTCTCACTTTTTCCCCTCCTCCTCCTTGTCTTCCTCCTCTTCCTTCCTGCTCCGCCCCCATCCCCCTTCCCTCCCCTTCTCCACCAACACCACCACCTATCCCCCCCACACCCCCCGCCTTCCCTCCAGTTCTTTGTCATCTCTTTGGGTGAATTCCCAGCTGACTCTGTTTGTCATGGCAACCAACCAGTCGTGGTGACTGGGCCTGCAGCTCCTGCTTCCTGTGTGTGTGTGTGTGTGTGTGTGTGTGTGTGTGTGTGTGTGTGTGTGTGTGTGTGTGAGGAATGAAGAGACGCATGCGCAGTGTGTATGTGTGTAGACAGCGGCTGGCTGCATGAGCCTGTCAGCCTGGATTAAAGTCAAACATACTGCAGCAATGCCTTTCTTTCTTTCTTTCTTTCTTTCTTTCTTTCTTTCTTTCTTTCTTTCTTTCTTTCTTTCTTTCTTTCTTTCTTTCTTTCTTTTTTGCAGCACAGAAACAATTCAGTAGATACATGTATCTCTTAAAGCTACTATGTTTATTCAGGGAATTTCGTGCAATAATCTCTCTCAGCCGTTTTTCTCCTACTGTCCCCCCACCACCTCCTACTTAGTAACTCGGTGTGCTATTCTAATGTGGCACGAGGAGGGAGAGTGGAGGGGGTGGGCTTTAAATCTGGCCTCTGATCCTGTGGTACAGCAGGGAGCGCTGCTATTACATAACTTCTTGTGTGTGTGTGTGTGTGTGTGTGTGTGTGTGTGTGTGTGTGTGTGTGTGTGTGTGTGTGTGTGTGTGTGTGTGTG